GAAAGTGGCTGCAAAGGAATTTGTAATGTTATATACAATTAGCATTTTACTAAAAGTAGACAGTGATATCTCTAAAATAAAGTGCACAATTTTCACACAAAATATGAATCAGAAACCATTTACAACACTGAGAATCATCAGAAATGACACCAATTTCTGATTTCTGATACATTCATTTCTGAAAGTCCGTGCGACTCTGAACACTAGACTAATGACGTGGTAAATGTTGTCTCTGAATCACAGCAATAAAATATATTTTACATTTAAACTTCTCAAAAGGAAACCTATAATCAATATTTATCTGGTAGTGTTTCCGGTTTGCTTAATATAATTAATTGATGGTTGTCATAAAGACTATAAATGTAAAACAGTCGTTTGAAGTAAGTTGGCTGTGTGAATAATTCTGGTCTGCCACAACTGGACAAATCACTAGTGGACAAAAAAATCACTAATATTAAATTAAAATTAAATTAAAATTACATTAAAATAAAAAATCTAATTAAATTAAACTAAAATTAAATAAAAAATATTTAATTTAAAAATTTAATTAAATAAAAAAATTTTAATCAAGTTAAATTAAAAGCATTAAAATTTTATTAAAATTTTATTTAATTAAAATAAAATCAAATAAATAAAAGTTAAATAAATTAAAATATTTTCATTAAATTACATTGTATTATTTTATTTTAAATTAAACAAAAACAAATGAAAATAAAATTCTATTTAAATCAAAGATTTCTTAAAAATTGTAGAAAATTATAAATTCATATAAAAAAAAAAAAAACAATTCCCACTATTATCTCATGGCTTATTAACTAATGACTTATTAATGGCCTATTAAAAAGATATTGGTTGTTTGTTACTATTTAAATATGATCTTATTTAACTTTCCTAATCCTGGCCAATACTAAAAACTACTACCCTATTAACTACTTATAAGCAGATAATTAGTACTATCAAGCAAGAAGTCATAATAGTTTATTATTAACGTGAATTGTACCTTAAAATAAAGTGTGGGCAAGATTAAATGCCTTTAGGCAAAAAAAAAATGCTTATAGTAAAAATCCTAAATCACAAACACATATATCAAAGCTTACAAATATAGCACAAGACAAGATTTACAAGCGCATTTTACACTGAACGTCAATCTTCAAATATCGGTCTGTGTTTACATCCCCTTTTATTTACTAGAACAGTCATTGCCTTCATCTGCTGATCTCATGAAAACAACAACAACAAGCGAACACACGGAGCATTTTGGACTCATGCACATCTGGATTCAAAATGTTGACTTTGATTTTCGGTTTATAGAAGTGAATATAACACAACAGCATTTTCTTGGGTCACGAACAAACAGCCATGTTCCTCAACTGCTTGGGTTGTTCTGGTCTGCTGCGAATGGTTTAATTACAGACTTACTCTTCATGGCTACCAAATAATAGCATGTGTACGAGATACACGGCCATATCAGAAAGCACTGGGACGCTCATGATGTCAGAGTCACAGCAAATCATGCGGTTTTCATTGTAAAGATTGAAAAGAAAACATTTCTATGAAGTAACAGCAACTGTGTTAGGGTGATTATTTGGTGTACGCAGACAAATCACAGAAATAATAGGTTAAAATGTTGAAAAGTGACGTCAGAAAAAATAAAAGACGCAATAAATGCAGTCTGTGAAAAAACAAAAATAAATCAATTTAGCAAAAACTAAACTGTAGAATACACATTTGATGGCAGTGTATGCTTAAAAGTGGATTTGGGTTTGTTAAATAGCTTACACTTTACAACCCATCAATTAAAGCTAATTATTCCACTGCTGTCTGCTATACTCAATTCTGATTGGTCAGTGGCGACATTCGTTATTTATCGGTTGTTATTTGGGAATAACATACCATAACATACCAACATCCGGAAACGTAAAAAAACCTTGACCCTCAGTAAATGCGTACACATCCATTTACTTACAGCAGCATTTGTATGCATTTGCTTGTTTTTGGCGCCATCTAGTGAATGAATAATGCGCAGGTTAGTGTATACTCCATCAGCTTCCCTCAGCTGGTCTCGACTCTGTCAGATTTGCGTTTAATTAATGAATTCATAAACTATTACAGCTCATATTAATGTTTTGTGTCATATTTTTACATTTTGTTTCAAGAATCAGTGGAATAGTCGGCGCAATAGCCTAGTGGTTATCAAAATAAGCCTTTGTTTGTAGTGAATATGCGCCCTCTAGTGAAAAAAATCCCACACTTTTTTTAATGAATGGAAGCTTATTGTAAAGTGTTGTTTAATAGTTTATTGACTGCTGTCATAAGGGGGCACGGTGGCACAGTGGTTAGCACTGTCGGCTCATAGCAAGAAGGTCGCTGGTTTGAGTCCTAGCACGGCCAGTTGGCATTTCTGTGGAGTTTGCATGTTCTCGGTTGGCGTGGGTTTCCTCCGGGTGCTCCAGTTCGCCCCCCCAGTCTAAATACATGAGCTATAGGTGAAATTAATAAACAAAAATTGTCCGTAGTGTATTTGTGTATGAATGTGAGTTTGCATGGGTGTTCCCCAGTAAAGGGTTGCAGCTGGAAGGGCATCCACTACATAAAACATATGCTGGAATAGTTGGCAGTTCATTCCGCTGTGGCGACCCCTAATAAATCAGAGACTAAACCTATGGAATATGAATGAATGAATGAATGACAGCTCTTATAAAGACAATTATGACAGCACCATCAAGTGCAAAATGGAAATGTAATTTGATGCAAAAATTATTCAGATCAACCACATGTCTGTATAGGAACACAAACATGCTGGAAACTGAGGGATGCAAGGTGGAAAATGATGGAGAGAATATAAAAAAATATATATATATAATTTCCAGGGTGAAACTCTAGCATGTGGTTTCCCGGCAGCCTGGTGAACAGCATGTGCAGCTTTACTGTAAACACACTATTGAGTTTCATGCAGGCCGTTTAAAGAGCTTCATGTTTATTTAAAAAGCTGCTTTCCAACAAACAACCCATGAGAATCTGCGTCTCCTCCCTGATCACACTGCCAAAGCAATCATCTACACACATTTGTAAAGACACGCTTACACTGACCTCGTCACCACCATTACCTTACACCGAAGAACACCGCCACAATACCATAATACACCACAACTTAAAGGTGCACCGTTTTATAAGACGCAAAACAAATCTCGGGTTTCAACCAGAACGTGTCTGTAAAGATTAACCTCAAAATACCTCAAGGATCATTTATTATTCCACGCTGTAAATGTCCATTCCAGGTATTTCTACTCAAGCTGTGCAAAAAGAGCTCGCAATGCTGCTTAATACTGCCATTTTTCTTCATATTGCTGGAAGATTTACTGCACTTACTTACACCATTTTATTCCACTATAACAGAGGTCACCAATCTCATTCCTGGAGGTCCGGTGCCCTGCAGGGTTCAGCTCCAACTTGCTTTAACACACCTGCCTGGGTGTTTCAAGTATACCTAGTAAGAGCTTGATTGGCTTGTTTAGGTGTGTTTGATTAGGGTTGGAGCTAACATTTGCAGGACACAAAGATCGTTCAGACTCACATAATAAATAAAACAGAAACAATAAATTAATTCTTGCGGGCCCAGTACTAATTCATCCAGTAGTTGAGGACCACTGAGTTAGAGGTTAAAAGTAGAGTAAAAAAAAAGCTGTGCAACAAGCTACCTCACAATTTTACATTATAAATAATTCAGTCAATTATTTATATATATTTTTTACAATGAATGAACAGCTTTGTTTTATAAACTAATGTTAACAAATATTGAATAAATAATGGGAAACAATTGTCAAATTAAAGAAGCAGTCGGTCTTCAGAAACATTTTTAGTTGAGCTAGTTGATAGTATCTTCACAGGCCATTAGTAATATTTAAAGTAAATGATCTAAATGTGTTTATTTGTATTTAAAAATTCTGGGTAAGGCATAAAACTATGTTCATCCAATTAAATATTGTCAGGCCGACATCTCTCATAATTCCGATAAGTAGCTCAAACTGTCTGTCAGCAAATGCAGATTTGGGCTTTTGCGCATCTCCGTTCACGCATATCCGATGAGCACCGCGCGTGCATGCCTAAAAATGCTAAATCAAATGCTGAATTGAAACTTTTTAATCCTGAATCAATATTGGAGCAATTCTTTTGCACGCTGGAGGAAAGATGACACCATGGCTGAAGTATTTCTGTTAGACAGGTAATGTCCTGTTTTAAAACCATTTTAGCTTCACGCAGAGCCGATGTGGAGTGTGTTGTGTTATGAATGTGTTCTGCACAGACGAGTTGTTCAGCCACTGAAATCTCCCAGTGATAGATTGATGTGAGTATTTTCAGTTTCACCAGGGCCTTTAACAGCATCGATAACGTAGATTTATATTTAGTTTAACAACAAAACACCAGTAAATAGCGCTATTCCGCTTAGACGGCTTCACTGGGCTGAAGTTGGTTTTATATTCACATTGGGTAATTTCTGAGCAAAGACAACTTGTGACGCGCTCCCGAAATGGTTTACCGCTACTCTGAATATTCGCTATGAAATAGCATCTAAGTGTGGCTTGGTAATAAGTGTAAATCCTGCACGTCGCCGGCCAAACACTACATACGCTTCTAACTGGCGAAATACATGAACTAGTGGGTTGTCTGCTGTCGTGTTCCCGATTTCAGGAGGTGTGGCTTTGAAACAAAGTCCCTCCCCTGCCGTCCAAAGCTAATATGCTAACTGATTAGCATTTTGGCAAATCACCTACTGCACTTTTAAAATTACAAAAATAAAGTTGTTCATGTATTTGCACAGCCAAAGAAATATGAAAAAAATGGGTCAATCAAGAATGGTTTTGGAATCAAATCGTGACTCCCAGAACTTGAATCAGAGGGTGAACTCCCTGAAGATTCACACCCCTAATGCATCTTTGTAATTCAAGACAGAAGATCACAGGGATAAACTCTAGCTGGATGAAGAATTGTTTAGACGGTACCTTGCAGACGGTCTCTTTGTCCCAGGGTAGGATGGTCTGAAGGTCGATGAGCTCACAGGAGACACCCAGCTTTTCCTGAGCCATGGCTGCAACCTCCCGCATCACATGAATCTGCAGCAACACAGCAAATGACAATGAGACTTAAGACTGAGGCGCCGTTCACACAATTTTTCAGCCAAAAACAGGGAACTTTTCATATGTTTTGCCTGTTCATTTACACGACAATGGCCTTTTTGTGACTGAAAACACGTCAAGTTTTTGATGTCCATGTAAACATCTGAAAAGTATGACTTCATTTGTGCACACAGTATGCGTTTAGGGAGGTGTATATTAAAGAAAGCACAAACACAACACTGACAGAGTACATGTAGTGTTGTTGTTACGTCAAAGTGTTCACCATATCCGGACATAAAAATAACTTTCCTTTTTGCAGATTTCCTTAATGCAAGCTTATTAAAGCATTAAAATCTGTTAAATCAACCAACTAACGACACATTCATTAATTATGCAAACAATTAATCCAATGGAAAAAAAAAATCCCCCCGCCCTGATGTGATGAACGAAAAGAAAATGTGGATTCTATCCATCAGAAACAAGTCTTCTCTTTGTCCTTGACCTTTAAGTCGTCTCTGTACTGTCATACGGTGCATCAGTCCTTTGTGTGGATCACTCTATTGGGTTTGTGAGCTGATCTCTAGGACACCCGGAGTAGAGATGCGCGGATGGGCTATTATTTCATCCGCAACCGCATCATAAAACTCATCATCCGTCCGCCATCCATCCGCACTAACATATCTGCTGACTGAGCTCTTTATTTGAATGGCTTATTCCTTTTTATTATTAAATGAATGTTTCTTTATTGATTATTAGAAAATAGAGAATGACTTTAATGACATGCAGTTAATCCAAACGTGCAAGTCAAATCCAGCATTAATTGACGCTTGGAAGTGACGCTAAACAATACGAGGACGTGTCGTTTCACTTGATTCGATTCCTGGGTCCTTGAGTTTTTATTTTTTGCGTCCTTCCCTCGCATCTTATAGGGGTGGAAAGACGAGGAAAGAAAGCAAGGGAAGGAAACGAGGATACACAAATAAGAAATGAGAAACACCCTATAAAGCTCTCAGAATATCAGCAGTGAACTCCGTCTCCAATCGGTGCACAGGGACAAAAATAAATAAATAAATAAATCGCCTAAATGAAACGCACTGTACTGTACAATTTTTTTTATTATAGTAGCCTAATAGAAAAAGCATTTTGACACATCATTTCAACATTCAGACAAGAGCGCCTGGCCTCTAATGCGCCCTGCTGCACTGAAGGAGCGCTCGCTCGCAGCACTTGTTGCTGGATTGCATAGAATTCTCTTGGAAAGGTTCTGTAGTCGTGGGAATGACTGCCTTGTTTCTCCCAAAAGGAAAGTAGATTTTCCTCTGCTGATCCGTCTATTCTTAATTTTGTAGAGGAAGACTTCTGTACTTCATCCAGAATTAGTGTATCCGATTCCTCCTCTCATTCTGTGAAGTCAGTCCAAGGCTTTTTAGTTGGTGCGCCAGCTATGCCTATAAAAACAGTACAACCGCGCACCACCCGCCCGAATTTAATTAAAATATTATTTTTCGTCACGTCATCCGCCCAATCCGCGGTTTATCCTCGGATTCCGCAGCTGTAACCGCCATCCGCGCATCTCTAACCCGGAGTGCTTTTGAGAGCATTATCTGCAGTTGAATGTGTTTCTGCAGGCGTACCTGAGTCCCCCAGGCCACCAGCGTCAGATCACTGCCCTCCTGCAGCACCTCTGCCTGAGACAAGGGAATGTAATAGGCTTCTGTCGGCACCTGCTCCACTGACAAACAAAAAACATGTTACACATCAGCTGACACATGCGTAGACCAGGAGTATTCAACTCAAATTTAAAGTGGTCGAGTTACTAGAAATTTTCTAGAAGCAAAGGTCCAGATTCAAAATTATTCGCCCTCCAGTGAATTTTTTTTAATCGAAGTCAAAGTCATCTTTATTGTCCATTCAACCACATGTACAGGACATATAGAGAATTGAAATTACGTTACTCTTAGACCCTAGGTGCATAACATATGATGTTAATACAAAAAGAGAGTTTTTAAAACATGAGAGTTTTTAAGAATGAATTTACAATAAATACAATTATACATAAAATGTAATCTAAATATATACCTACAATTTAGTCTAAATATATACATAAAATGTAATCTAAAGAATAATAAAAAAAGAATACAATACAATCAATACAATACAATAAAAAACATTAAGGGCATACGGCAATGAGTGCAAACCAGAGTTTTGCAGATAGAACCGTATATAGTGCAAAAAGGCTTGTAAACATGAGAATTATGATAAAGTGACAGTGTCATGATATATAGGGAGGTAGTCCAATGTTGCATAAAGTGACCAGTGCAGGTGTAAGTGTGTATGTGTGTGTGTTTTCATATATGTTTTATTCTTTTTATTAAATATTTCCCATAATATATTTACCAGAGCAAGGAATGTTTCATAGTATTTCCTATAATATTTTTTCTTTTAGAGAAAGACTTTTGTTTATTTATCTAGGCTAGAATAAAAAGTTGTTTTTTTAAACCATCATAAGGTCAATATTATTTGCCCCCTTAATCAATATTTATTTTTTCAATAGTCTACAGAACAAACCATCATTATACAATAATTTGCCTAATTACCCGAGTTTAAATGTGACTTTAAGCTGACTACTATTATCTTGAAATATGAGAAATGATGGTGTCTTGAGATATTGAAAAATCTTTAGAAATGATGAAGGTGTCAGAGATTGTTGAGAGACTGAATACAGTTCATATTTGCAGTGTGTGAACAAACATTAGACTTGCCTATTAACTTGAGTCATATAAGTTTGGATCATTAGATCATTGGTGGCCAACCCTGTTCCAGGAGAGCCACCTTCCTGCAGATTTCACTTGCTACCCATATCAAACACACCTGAAGCAACTAATTAGGACCTGAACACCACGTGATAATCACAGGCAGGTGTGTTTGATATGGGTTGCAACTGAAATCTGCAGGAAGGTGGCTCTCCAGGAACAGGGTTGGCCACCCCTGCACTAGATGATGATCAAATTGAGCATATTTCTTCCCACAGCTGGCAAATCCCACGTGGTCTTTGTCTTTTTACACTAAAATCTGTAGGGTTCAATAATGTTAAATTAAAGTCATTTTCCTCATCCTAGTTTACATGCTCATTGAAGTCACATCGTGTCTGTCGCCTTCTGGGAAATCGTTCTGCTTCAACAATGAGGTTTACAGTCATTTTGTTGAACATTATTGAAGTTGATTTTGGTTGGTTTGGAACATACTCGTGCTCAGAATGAAAAACAGAGGCTTGTGGGGGGAAAACAATCCTTGTGATCTTTGCTTTGGTTGTACTTTGAGACTGAAACCGAACATTTTAATATCTTACATGTACATTATGCAAACAAACGTGACTTTATGTGTACATTATTAGGCTTAAGACTCATCCAGCTTCGATAAAAATGCTCATAACCTCATTAAGTCAAAACTACTTTTTCTTCTATCTTGACTATTTCCAGTTTTCCAGTTCTTTGAAAACAATTAGCATTGTTCACAGTTGAGCTAAGAGAGCGGTATTTAATCTCATAGGTCTTTGGCCCACAGGTCAATAAAAACCACTGTGATCTTGAAGCCTGAATTAATGGAGCTACAGTATACATACAGTCAACGGCTCCAAGATTTCTGCTATTGTAGCTTCCCTGCAGCACATCTGATTGTGGTGACCTCCAAATAACAGACAGCAGTACAGCAATAAATCATTTTTACAAAGCGGTCAAAGGCAAGAAATGACACCATCGTTAAATGCGTTCAGCATGTGACTGAAATGTTTTATTAAACATCACTGCAGCCGAAAAAGAGCTGATTATAAAGTTGAGAACTTTTCACCTTTCAACACTGCCCCTGACAACATACGACACTTATAAACATTAAACATTACAAACTAATAATAACTAGATATCAAAGTTTGAAGGCAAACTTTATGGTGGTTTGAGAAAGCCATGTTATTAGCATGTTGAGCATGACTTTGCATTTTTTTTTACACTAAATGGCATCGTTTTAACAAATTATCATGTTGCTAAATCATTTTAACATTAGCATGTTGTTAGCATGTATCTAACATTTGTTAACACGTTTCTACAATGAATTACTAATGATGTGAATTGTAGTTTAGTATGAATTAGCATGTTATTGGCATGTTTCTAGTATAAACTAGCATATTGTTAGCATGGTTCTAGTATGAACTAGCATGTTGTTAGCATGGTTCTAGTATGAACTAATGTGTTGTTAGTGTGACGGGTGTTAATAAGAGTATTAATTTAATGCATTTCACTAATAGTCCCTCCTTTTAATTTTCGTGCATTTGTTTTGCATCAATTTGTTTAGACATATGTTAGAATTTAGTTTTTACTCTATTTGTGTTGTTTAATGAAAATAGTTTTATATTTGTTTTGCGCGCAACGTTACTTCCGGTTGCCGCGCTACGTCACTTCCGGTTGCCGCGCAACGTCACTTCCGGTTGCCGCGCTGGGTTCTCAGACCGCATTGAGCGCGCTGAGGAGAGGTGGGGAAATTTACAAACGAAATCATATCAACTTACTGTGCTGTTTTCTGATTCATCCAGTTTGCTCTGATCTGACGCTTGAGTGACAATAAACCCACCATCAGCAGTACCAGTGGCCTGTCTCATTATTGTACACAACGCAGAGAGTGCGAACACCGGTTACAGTGGTGCCGTGACCCGGATGAAGATCAGCTCTTCTGGAATCTTCATCCAAAGATCAATGTCGTTTGGTCGCCGGTGGATGCTGCACTTCGATCAAGGTTTTGATGAACTGTGATAGAGAGCATTGCACTTTCATCAAACTGGACACTTCACTATATCCTTTCTTTATTTCTATTTGAATTTAATATACCTGTTTTCCTGTTTAACATATATATTTTTTGGTAGTTGTTCTCCGATGCTGGTTTATCTATTCTAAAATTTTATTCAATGTTTGATCATTTACATGCCAATAAGTAGTAATGGCATATGGTTTCAAAGCAGACAGTTTTAAGGGTGAGGAGAACATGTCAGATTTAACTTTCGGAAGGGGAAGACTTTTTGCTAATTCATCTACGCCTGTTGCAGGGAGGGGTAGTGTGGGACGAACTTCTGAATTTTGTTCTACCCGGGTAACAGAACAAACACCTAGTCAGTTAAGGAGTAACCCATTTTTGGCTAGCCCAGATTTAAATGATACTGCATGGCAAAATCTCATAACACACATTGCTCAAGAAGTAGGACAGACTTTGATTTCTGTTCAAGGTGGGGGAAGGTATGGGGAAGGAGAAACTAATAATGCACAGACACAGAGTCCAGTTGCTGGTCAGTCATTCACAGAAACACCCTCACTTAATTTGACAGGAGTCAAATTAGTCATGCAATCTGAAGTAAGAGAGCCTCCTGTGTTCCGAGGTGATGGAACAGATAAGTTCACTGTGCATGAGTGGGAGGATTTACTGGACACATACCTGCGTAAAAGAGGCATACCAGCTTCCGAGCATTATCATGAAATCCTTTCCAGGCTGCTGGGTAAGGCCAAAGACATTGTAAAAATAACCCTTCGCAGCAACACATCTCTAAAACCTTCTGAGAACCCCAGAGTGATATTCGATATCCTAAAGCAACATTTCAGTGAAGTCAGATTCTCCTCTATGCCTTTAGCAGATTTCTACAGCACAGTTTCCGTTATTGGAGAGAACCCAGTTGAGTATTGGGTCCGGTTGAATAAGGCTGTGGATGCTGCTGAAGAGGCTTTGAAAAGACTTGGGCGACAGATGGATAATCCTTGTCAGGAGGCAGCCATGATGTTTGTCAAATACTGTCCGGACCCCAGCTTGTCAGCCGTTTTCCGTTTGAAAGCAGCAGACAAGTGGACAGCGAGTGAGGTACAAGAGCATCTAGACAGATATCAGGTTGAGCAAAAAGAACAGTTGGCAATTAAATCTAAGCGCAATGTTACAATGAGGAATGTTGCAGTTCACCGACAGTCACTCGTGGAGAATGAGATGATGGCTAGTGGCTCCCCAGTCGTGGCATCTGAACATTCTAACTTGAGTATTTCATCTTCTACACAGAATGATGATAACTGTATGAAAACACTCATCACCTTACTTGACCGTGCGCTCTCCCAGAATTCTCAAGCTGAAATGAGTAGTCCTCGACAGAGCCAACCGCCTACGAGAGCTTGTAAGGTGTGTCGTTCATATGAACATTCAACTCTCTCACACTGCCGACGTCAACGACTCTGTCTTGCTTGCTTCCAACCTGGGCACATAAAAAGAAATTGCGTAAATAGTCAGCATGGCTCTGGCAGCCAGATAACACAGCAATCGCAAGGTTCACCGACTTTAAAATAGTCGACCCACACCTGGAGAGGGGACGTGTGGGTAGGGTAGGACAAACCCTCGAAGATGTAGATCTTAAACAAGTTTATGAGAAGGCATGTGCGCAGGCTCCGGCTGAAGTCAAAGTGATCGCACAGAATATGCAAACTTTAGAAGTGTTTGATGAATTGTTTTATGCACCTGTCTATGTGAATGATAGATTCCAGATAAAAGGAATGTTGGATTCAGGATCTATGGCATGCACTTTTAGTGAAGCGGTAGAAAGTCGGATGCTCTGTGAAGATGTGTTGCCAAAACCCTCACCTTTGTCCCAGGAAATAATGCTAATTGGATGCGGAGGTAAAATAACCAAACCAAAATGCATGTATGAAGTCGAGCTAAAGG